AAACCAAAACCAATAATAAATTGGTCATTTTCAAACCACGACTGTTTGTGGGACATTACTGTGCGCAATTGGCTGCTACGTTCGCCCACAAATATACAGTCAATTCACTTTACAGTGTGTTCTGTGAAGCGCTTTGGGACGTCCTCCCGACGTGAAAAGCGCTATATCAAATGCAAGGATTATTATTATGTGATGTTGCTTCAATCAAACTCTTGAAGCAGAATGATGGATTGGCCACGTATTTCTGATATGGAAGAGAATAGTTTCTGGTCTGGGATAGACTGGGTTCATGGGTTTGCATGGCTTTAGATTAAACTGAATCCAGAGCAATACAGTATATTTTGCACTTTGAGATGTCTCAAAGATGTGATAAGGTGCTATAGCAAATGCAAGGATTATTATTATTATATTATTATTATTATAGATAGATTGACAGTGACTAGGAGGCCAGAAGCTTTTTAGAAGGTTTCTACTTCTACCAGTTTTATCAACATCTAGAGGGTGCTGTTAACTGTAAATGCAGCTTCACTTCATATGGCATACACAAGGAAATTGATGGGGACAAGAAACAGGTTGGGCCAAGTAGACTCCTCCAAGGGAGCTCTATGTAAGTACTGTGATAATAAAATAAAACATCATCGCCTGGGGTTGGTTTGTATATTCAGTTCAGCAGCTGAGCAAACATGTTCAAAGAGCCAATGTCTCAATGAGGGACCTAAACTCTCCGGCGTTATGTTGTCCCTCGGGAGACAGTGCACACTCCTTACCAGGTAAATGGAAACTGTGCACATATAGAACTCTGAGTAGCTTGGTTTTGGAGACTCTTAAGCATGGTGATGGGTTTCCATGTGTATCAGACAACCAGCTCACATACCCTCTTGAATGCTTATAGGCATACTGTTCTAACATAAAGGCATCAAAAGAATGATTCCATTTCTAGCCCATGTCCACTTAGAAGTGCCAACATGTTTCAAGTCAGTCGTGGATCTGTGGTTGAATTCAGGCATTTTTAGCAAGATATTTGATGGAAGTTTCCATTATACTGTCCTTAATTTCAGTGAGAGCTGACGAGATTGTTTTTCTTCCGGTAACTATTCTATTGTCTCACAAAGTCATATCTGATTTTGCCACCTGTGACAAAATTGGAATTGGATATTAAGTTGGATATTACTGAAATTAATCAAGTGCTCCGGGACTCTAGCCCACGTGAAGGGCGCTATATAAATGCAAATTGTGGTTGTATTAATTTAATGTTGGTTTTCAGCTGCAATGATTACAGGAATATGTTACCCTTAGGTTATGATAGAGGGTAAAAGAATATTTATTGTACAGTTTCTATACCTGCTACGCTTGAGGCAGTCATTCCACTGTTTTAACTAAAATGCTGTCGGAATTGTATCGTATCCATTGAGCTAAACATATCTTATTAATTATTGAATGAAAAGCTCGGGAGAACCTGTATCCAGTTAGCAAAATAAATAGTGCATCTAATGTTGCCACATCAGCCAAAACCTAGAAGTAACTGATCTGTCAGTTTATTTTTACAATCAAAATGGTATAAATCAAACACATATATATATTGATTTGTAGAAACTGGAGAACAACATAGAAAAATAAGTCCTATTCTACAAGACTTCATTTGTGAAGCACACTCTTAGAAGTCTTTACTTATAGCAAGGGTCTTGACTATTCTTCCCATTCAGTTGTTTTTCTATCTCTAGCCCAGCAATGAAGCAGTAAAGAGCTGAAAATCAATTATAACTAACTAGATGATGGTGGCCTGGCTCAGTTGAGTCAAACAGTCGTGAGGTTCAAATCCCAAGTTAGGACTTTGAACTCATAGTCAAGAGTGCCACTCTAATTGAATGCAGGGTTGTGCTGCATCGTCAAAGGTGCTGTCATTAAACCAAGGTCCCACCTACCGTTCAGGTGAATATTGAAGATACCATGGCACTATTCAAAAAGAGAAGAGAATTTCTCCAAGCGCTCTGGTCTGTAATCCTGCAGATAAAATTGGTCATTCACTTCACAGTTGTTTGTGGGACATTGCTGTGTGCAAATTGGCTGCTGCATTCTCCTACAAAATACACGGATACCACACTGTCCAGTAAAATTCTGTGAACCACTTTGAGATGGGTTCCCGACATGAAGGCGTTATATCAAATACATGAATTATTATTTTGTATTAAGAAGACGCAGCAACAGATTATTCCTTTTATTATTATGGAAACCTTTCTATTTGAACACAAAGTGTCTAAATCACTGGTTTGGAGCCATGTAAAGAATGCTTATACATAAATAAGGAAGCAACACCTATTAATATCTTAACACAAAACACTGGCAGCAAAGCTTCTTTGTTGCTCTCCAACACAAGTAACAGCAGCAGATTGTGCCATGTAAATAGCACAAGTGGCAGCGAGGAGGAAATTGGGCCTCATGTGTTTCTGTGATATTTATTCTAAAATCAGCTCTAGCGCTGAGCTAACTGTTCCAAAATGATTCATGTTTCATTATTTCGCTCAGCAGAAAGAAACCGTGTCTTTCCTGTGCCATCACATGCATATTTGCCACATGAAAGGCACAGATTGTAAGTCACAGACAGAATGTGGTGCTTTGGATTGCAAATGGTGTCTTCCTCCATTGTAAGAGTTCAACACTCTGACTAAAGCCATAATCTGATCTGGGAATAACGGCTGGACAAAACAGTCAGAGATTGACTGGGAATGCAGGAATGACATTGGTATTGTCTGTTTTGCTGGAAGTTTACAACTTCTGTGGAAACTCCACAGGGTATACATTTTTCATGCTAATTGGGTGCTCATATAGTGGAGGTGCACTGCAGCTCTGGTTGTCATTGGGGCTTAACTTGCAACATTTGTCAAAAGGATGAGAAATGCTTATTTGAGATTCCTTCGTTGGACTCATTAGTAATTTGCTGCTAAAATGGGGGAAAGAGTCTGGAGAGCAACCTGGATGGCCATGAAAAGGTGACATTTTGTCGTACTTTAGTTACTTTTGGAAATCCCACTTAGTGTTTTGCACCCCTTGTGTGAACAGTGCAAATTGGACCCCATTGCTGTCTTACTGCATTGATGCAAGAAAGTCCTTTGGAGCATTGGAGCTAATATGCAATATGTGTTGTTTTGCAAAACTTACACCCCTGTTGATGTGTCAGTTAATGTCATGCCACATAAATTGTGTTTGAATGGCGACTGCAGGTGGCCCTTTGTCCCAATTTTTGTGACAAAGACAGACTACGTTCACTCAAAGCCAAACAAAAAAAAACTGACTTTGTTCACTGTATTCCAAGAAGATTATTGCTCTCCCCTGATAACATTATAGGCCTGTGGTAAAGGGCACAAAATTTATAATGTAAACCAGTCTCTCATTATATCAGATCTCTTAGCTATGTTCCTTTGAGATCACTATTCTAGCTGGTTTGCATAAGTGCAGTTAGTGGGAGTGGAATTGCCGCAGTTTATAATAATAATAATGCTTGCATTTGATATAGGGCCTTCGAGACGTCTCAAATAGCTTCACAGAATATACTGTAAAGTGAATTGACTGTATAGTTTGTGGTATTGAAGTTCAGTAACAATACGCACTCATATGCCTTTAACAGTGTCTCGGTCAAACTTACAATGACCACAGATCCTTGGCTTGGCGTTTCATCAAATCCAGGTTATAGGTGGCAGGTTACAAACTGTAATGAATGTCACTAGCCACGAGATGGTAATCTAACTACAGCAGGTTAATGCAGGACAACACCCAATATGTTATGTTACCTAGTAATGAGTGGAAAGCACTGGTCTGAACCACACACCTTCTCTTCACCTTCTCTCTTAAAATCATTGTTTTAACAACACAGTACAAATTACAGATGGGGTGCTTGATTAAAAGTGATTCAGAACCAAATCACAAAAATCGCTGGTGAAGGAACACTGCTCACAAATAACTTCCATGTCTCTTCAATTTGTTAAACAAGCATGAATTGCAACATGCAATCTATCATTCAGAGTCCGGCCCTCATCCACAAGAGCAATGATTAATTAATACATTTTTTTAATGACCTGTACATTATTTGGCTGAAATGCATGTAGCTATTTATTAACACAGTTGCTTCTGATTCAGACACTTGGGTATCAATTATAAGATTTGTAATAGGAGTTGTAAATGCTCAACATGTCTTTTAGATGTTTGTTAGTGGTGGTTCAAAGTATGGTTTGTAAGATTATTAGGAGCTAATTGGGAAAAAACCTACCCTCCAGTGACTGGTCTACTCTTCCAAGTCCTGCCAACCACCCAAGTTGGCTGGGCCATCAACAGTGCCTTGGAGTTCTGCAGCCCTACCTGGCTCAGGATCTGCATTACTGAGACTGCCACAGAAAATTGATTCAGAAATTTCATTACTAGGCAGTAATCTTGGAGCCAACTCAGCCCCACAGAGAACCTACTTACCTCTCGTCAAGAGAGGTTAGTGATCTTTCTTCACCTGTGATCCTAGATAATGAGCGTTTCCAGGCTAGTTGACTGCAGCATCATAAATGAAACTCAAGCTTCTTCTTCACACCGACCATTAGACCATCTAAGCTGTGGGGAAGGAGGGGGAGAAAGGATTGCAGCATGTTAACAATGTGTTACTTTACAAAAAGTGCACAATGTCCCCTTCTGCAAAATGTCACAAGTCTTGAGGCTTTCTTAAAAGAGGCTATACAAATGTAATTTTGTATTGTATTTTTTTTTACCTTGGCTTTGACTGTCACATTTCCACTGGCCTCTTCTTTAGGTTGTTGTGATAATGCTTCTAGTTCTACTTACGCAGGAAACTATTTGTGCACCTACAGATTTTCAACCTGATTCAGTAGATTTCTGTTGTGTAGATCATCCTTTACCTTTTTACTTTACTTTTTTCCTGATGTATAAATTTGAATTGTATGGAACTGGTTTCACAGACATATGATTTGTTTGTTTTACAGACTGGTAAAAACAGACTGGGACTAAAATGTCTGAACCAAGACAGCGTTCACTGTCCACATCTGGAGAAGCACTTTACCAAATTCTAGGCCTGGAGAAAGGAGCTTCACCCGACCAAATAAAAAAATCCTATAGGTAGGTAGAGGGAGTGAGATCCACTGTGAAATTCAGTAATATTCTACTGTAACTTTGAAGATCATAAAAGCATCTGGCCGGGAAAATCATACATCACTCCACTTTACAGTGTATCCTTTGAAACGCTTTGGCAAGTCCTCCTTGCATGGAAGGCACTATACCAAATGAAGGATTATTATTATTGTTACTACTGTATTATTTTACTTATATTTTCAATGAAGGATGCAGTCACAGGCCATTAGCCCGGCGTGAAGGGCACTATATAAATCCAAGTTGTTGTTGTTATAAAAGGTTAGCATGAAGAAGGTCCTTTGGTCCATTTGATCTCATCCTTCTAATATATTCGCCCTAACGTGTTCCACGACAGCATTCAACATTTTTAAAAAAAAGATTCCAGTGTCCTGATCTCAACCATCCTCCCTGGTTCCAGTTGTTAATTAACTTCTAAATAATTCCTGGTATCTGTCCAAAAATTGCTCTTCACAATTCTAAACTTGTGCCCTCTGCTGTCTCGCCACATCCAATAGTATTCTGTTTACGTACTCAATCCCCACTGACATGTCTCTTTTGAAGACTGAAGAGCTGGAACTTGTCTAACTGTTGCTTATATCTCACTCCTCTGACGCTGGTGAATGTTTGTAACATAAGAATTAGGTCACCTGGGATAATTTGGCATAAGCAGTGTTATTTGAGAACTATCCTTGAGGGGGTAAGCGGAGTCTCCTGGATAGTGAGTAGGCTCCAAGTTCATGTGCTTGTCAGAATCGAAGCAACCCTCCGTGGCAGTCACGGTTGTCCAGTTTCTGAGCCAGGCAAATCTGCAGGACTCTTAGGCACTACTGATGTTAGACTAGTCAACCTGGCTTGTCAACAAGACGAGGAGGAAACGACAGGTCAGTGGGGGCAGGTATTCTTCCCACACTGCTCTAGTTAACCATACCAGCCAAAGTCCTAATGGGTAGGGTGGTCCTAACTGGAGAAGCAGCAGGAAGTTTGCCAGACAGAGGTTTCCATGGGAAGGTATGCGGTTTTAGCTGGTTAGACTCCAGCAGTACCCCAATACGCATGTGAAGTCCTGTAGCTCAGTGGTTAGAGCACTCACCTCGCAAGCGAGAAGACCTGGGTTTGATTCCCATCAGGGCAAAAAGTTGGGCAAGTTTCCTTACTCCACACGTTTCTGTTTACCTAGCAATAAGTTGGTCAATTGGCAGATTGCTTTTCCGGGGTTAATAATTCCTTCAAAATAAAAATAATAATAATTAGGTCACTCGATCCACGACTGTTTGTGGGTCACTACTATACGCAATTGGCTACCGCTTTTCGCCTACAAAATATACTGTCAATTCACTTTACAGTGTATTCCGTAAAGCACTTTGAGACACCTCGAAGACGCAATAAGGCGCTACATGAAATGTAAGGATTATTATTATTATTATTATTATGGGGTTCCCAGGCCTTTGCTCTGCCAACCTGCACCATATTTCTCTGGAATTAGGTAAGCAGGATGTGTATACTCCAGGTAGAGTGTACACATTCCATTCCATACCAGACAAGAAAATTTCCGTGTTTTTATGGCATACATGGAACTCTCAATCTAATGACTATTGCGTCTCAGAGAAGAACTAATATAAATAAAAGTATTGCTAGTTTCAGCTGGATAAAAACCAGTGGAAAGTTATTAGAATAAAAATCTCACAAGCAGTAATTAGTGTTTTAGTAACATATTCTATAATTTCAGCTCTGCTTGTACTTCAATGTGGCCTTGTTGGAAAAAAAACTGTTTTTGATATTATCAGATATCAAATGTAAATTAAACATCAAGAATTTATTATTAGTTTTGTGATACATCCTAATTAATAGAAATGGATTGAGCTGGTGTCATTGCTGCAAGCTTCAATGTTGGAAAAATTACTTGAATTGTAAACTACAGTTTATCTAACTAATAAGTGTAATGAATTACTAATAACAAAATACTATGCAGATGACTGGGGTATTAGTACTGTCGGTGTGAATGATTATCCATTCAAAGGAAAATCACTGTACTCCACAAAACAGGCAGAGCATTTATCATAAATGTTAATTTCCTTATTGCTCCTGCCAGATGCTTCCCCACTTGTTTGTGAAACCCCTGACATTGGTTTACCAAGCGCTCTGAGACGACGTCCGGCGTGGAGGGCGCTATATAAATCCGAGTTGTTGTAAATCCAAGTTGTTGTTGTTGTTGTTATTCAATTTTACTTCAGTTCTTTTTCCTTCACTCTGCACATCTTCCCCGCCCATGCGCATTTTTTGCTATTCCAGTTGAGATGGAGACTGGCAGGGCACAGCCTTTAATAGTGTGTTCTGTGCATTGTGGCTGTGAAATGACCCCAATTCATTAGCCAGCAGGTTAAAAGGTGATATTGAATGGCTCTCTCAAATGGCATTGGGCCCAATCACTTTCCAAAACTCAAGGGACTGTTTACCTGTGGTCAGGTATTGATTAGGTCAATGCCAAGAGCAGCATAGCCGATGCGATAATTGTGATGTTGAATAACAACAATCCTCCTTTCATTTGATATAGCACCTAATCACATATTTGAGACTCTCAAAGCACTTCAGAGGATATATTATAAAGTGAACTAACTGTATTTTGTGGGCGAAACCAATTGCACACAGCAGTGTCCCACAAACAGTCATGGATTGAGAGACCAAATTATTATAATTATTTTTTGAAAGGGTTAGTACCTCCGGAAGAGCGATCCAACAATCAACTAACAACCAGATTCCTATTTACTTTGAGGTAAACAGGCGTGTGGAGTAAGAAAACTCGCCCAATGTTTCGCAGGTCCAGATCCCAGAACCCAGGTTTCTCGGTTGCAAAGCGAGTGCTCTAACCATTTGTCGCATTTTCCTCCTCTTTGTCTCTCATTTAGAATTTAGTCCTAGAATCATCTTTGTTCCTCTTCCCTGAACCTTTCACAACCCTTCAGTGTGCTTTTGAAGAGATGGTACCCAAAAGCTTGTACAGTATTCCAAATGTGGCCTCACTGGTGACCTACACAATGTTAGAATCATCTATAGTTGAAATGCAGTCTATACTTTGTTTCATTTTGTTGACTTCATGTTGTTGTTTGTGGGACGTTGTTATGCTCCAAATTATGCTGCGTTCACCTACCCAATGACTTTTACTGACACTCTACAACTTTATGTATACCACAGGAAACTTGCCTTGAAACATCACCCAGACAAAAACCTGGACAACCCAGATGCCTCGGAAAAATTCAAAGAGATCAACAATGCTCATTCGATTCTTTCAGATATAACAAAGCGGAACATTTATGACAAATACGGATCACTGGGGCTCTATGTGGCCGAGCACTTTGGTGAAGAGAATGTGAACACATACTTTATGCTCTCTAGCTGGTGGGCAATGGTAGGATGATAAAACATTTATCAAACATTGTGATTTTTGGTTTGTTTTATTAATAATCATAATCCTTGCATTTGATAGACAGCCTTTCACATCAAAAGCTCTTCACAGGATTTACTGTAAAGTGCAGTGACTGTGTGTTTTGTGGGCAAACAAATGCACTGTAATGCACTATAAATACCTCAACCCGATAAGCCAATCAGTGTAGCAGCCCCCACTGGATCCATACAATTTGATCATATTGCATCTTTTATGTCAGGAGGACGTCTCAAAACACTTGATGTAATGGGAGGAAGGTAGGGTGGGCATTGTAGGAGATGAGATCAAATGTGTTGGAGGGACTTCTTCACCAATGTTGTAATCAGATCTGGATGGTGGCACTTGTCTAATTTGCTAATTTCTATCTTTTTTAGAGCCTCTTTTTATTCTGTGGGCTGATCACTGGCTGTTACCTTTGTTGCTGTATGTGCTGTTGCTGTAACTGCTGCTTTGGTAAGTGCAAACCCAAGCCACGGGGAGAGGCTTATGAGTACTACGTCTCCCCAGAGGACCTGGAGGAACAAATCCGCACAGACATGGAAACCGGTAAGTGCTGTGCCTTGGCTTATAGCAATACTTGCTTTGGTTTACTTGGGTTCAAGCCTCACAATGGGCAGATGCCCTCAAGCAAGCCTATTCAACATGCTCGACTGCCCGGATGGTTTAGAAAATCTTTCCAACACTTCTTGCAGTCAGGCCTCTCACTAAACACCCTCTCCAAACCTTTGGTCATTGAGGGAGAATGTTAACTATCCATTAATCATGTGAGAAGACCACATTTAATAATTCTGCTAGGTTGCATTTTACAAATAAAGCAATTAAAACGATCAGATGGTAAGTAGGTAATTAAAAAATCCTTGCACGTGATACAGCATCTCTCATGTCAGAGGATCTCTCAAAGCGCTTCAAAAGATTTACCGTAAAGTGTAGTGACAAGCCTCTCAGACACAATTTGTGAAGTTGGCATGATGCATTTCTGTTCAGCATCTGGAGTTGCTGATTATGACTCAATATTGGATATTTAATTTCTTATTGAATAGTCCAGATACGAGAGTCCTGTTACGAATGCCGCATTTTGACCTCAAAGTCCTCTTGAAAAATATTTGGAGTCTTTATACTCAATGATGAGTCTTCAATTCAGGAAGTTGCTGAGATTTGCTATTACCCTGTTTGCTAGTGTGACATCTACATCTACTTGCAAATTGCCTAGAATCTGAATGTGAATCTCCTGGGAGGGAGCAGGTAGTTGTGTAGGTTTCTTTTCTTTTTTTACTCTCCTCCATTCCAGATTAACCTAAGTATACGGTTAAGATGCCTGCAGTGTTGTTCAGGAGAAGTGATAATTACTTTTGGTGTGTCATGGCAATAGTTGAAATAACTAAGCCTAATAATATTCCTTTCAGCACAGCAAAGAAAAGCCCTTGACACTGCTTTTGTATTGAATCCAAAAGTTAATTTGGTTTGACGTATCTGTGGCAAATTGCTGCTTATTCGGCCCATGATATAATACCCATGAGGTACAATAGTTACAGGTCTGTTTTGATCATACATATATATGTATGGGCATGACAGATGGTTCCTCTGTTTCAACACAAATATCTGACTTTGCTTCAGTTGACTCACTAAACAAAGACCGATTTCATCATGCTGTGTCCACCTTAGTTCAAGGTAAGCACATGATGGCCATTTGATGTACAGTGCTTAGGAGCAGGAAGCACTGCTTTCATTCCTGCTCCACAATGTAACAAATCTCGAAAAAGGCCCAAAGCCTGATTTCTGCACATAATACCAAAATGGGCTGTTTTCTTTTTAATGTGATCAAAGACAACGCTTGCCTGACCCGCGCTTTAACGACATTAAAAGTCCTCGTAAGTTTCATCAGAACTCGGGAGAGTGAGCGAGCTAATGGAATACACACTCGCCAAGTTTCTATTTTAGAAGTTGAGAATTGCGACAGTCCCAAAGCCACCTCCTGCACATGATGTCAGGAAAAGGGCTTCAGTGCTTTGTGCTGACACAGTGGCCAGTTATCTCACACACCTATAGTAATAATAATCCTTGCATTTGATATGAGATATAACTTATGTGACCTTATCTCGGCTGCAAAGTGTGACCTTTGTCCTCACCAAAACCGCATGATAGAAATTGGAGAGCTTGAAAAATGAATAAATAATACAATAATCCTTACATTTGATATAGCGCCTTCCATGTCGGAATGATGTCTCAAATCGCTTCATAGGACATGCTGTAAAGCAAGGTGACTGTGTGTTTTGTCGGTGAATGGCTGCCCAGATAATGTCACTTAACCAATTTACTCTTGGCGTAATCTTTCACATGTGTCTCTTAAATTTCCTTTAAAAATAACTGTACAATGGTGGGTTAAAGGTAATGAAATCATAGCAGTTACAGCAGACCATCAAACCTAAGCTGGGTGCTCGCTCATTCACAGGAACTAATTTGAATGCTCCCCCTTGGTGACATCATCCGCAGACATGGGGTCAACTTCCATATGTATGCGGATGACACCCAACTCTATCTCTCTGCCTCCACCCTCAACTCCAGGACCACTGCTGTACTGACAGACTGCCTGTCGGACATCAAGTCCTGGATAAGGGCAAACTTCCTACTGTTGAATGTGAACAAAACTGAGGCTCTCGTGATTGCCAGCGCCTCTGCACCTCAGGCTCGGGCAGCTTCAACCTCCATGATTGCATACTTCAACTCAACAAGCCAGTCAGGAACCAAGGTGTCTTGCTCAACCCTCAACTATCTTTTCTTCCCCACATCCAAGCCATGACCCCCTTTGCCTTTCCCTTCTCCCACAATATAAACTACTGAACCACCACTAGCCACATAAGATACAAGAGCTGTAGGTGACAGTGAAATTCTGGTGACAGGGACGCATTTGTTTTGGATAAAACATTCAATTTCAATTTTATTATTTTCCTTACCTCATTTCTACTTTTCTACCCATCTATTCTGCTGTACAGACCAAATAGGTTCATTCCCTGGTCTCTGCTGGTGGTAATGAGAGTGCTAGAATTAGCTTCAATAAACTAGGGAAGAGAATTTTAGTCAGAGCTGACTCACAGCTCCATGATCTCGCTTCAGCATTTCACCTAAAGTGACCATTCTCCATGTGTGAGCCAAGACAGTGAGTTCCTATTTGACAGCAGGTTTGAACAAAGGAAGGGCAGGTCAAAGCTTAACCCTATCTTATGACTTTCTTATGTATGTATTCATAATATTCATATTAGCTTTAACTTGTCAGAACTGTCGTTCTTCATGGGCGAGCAGTGAGTGAGTATTGAAAGATTATTTTGATCATGGAAGGCATCACAACAGAGCCCATTTCTGTTTTCTTCCCATCCTCATCTTCTTAGCATCACTGTCCTCTCCCTCCTCTCCCTTTCCCCGTCTTTTCACCATCCACAGTCCTCTCCCCAGACCCCCATCCTCCTCCCATCGCCATCCTCCCCAATATCTATAAATTACGAACTTTCCCCAGGAGCCATGGCTGATTTTACCTTCCCTTACCTTGGGGCAATGTGATCGACTGTATTTGCCAGTTTAAAAGTCAAACCTCATGTAACAAGCTCTGTCTATCGAGCTGTATTCTAGATCTCTCATTTTAAGTTTTCAGTTTCCAATATAATGTTAAAATTGCTCAGTTGAGTTTCTTTAGAGTGGATCTCAACGTCTGGCTGAATGCTTTGCTCTTCTTACACAATAGGGCCATTCTACCTTCAAAGCCCTTTGGTCAAAGCCAAGTTGTCAAATGGCCATTTTCAGACTTGTTTCAACAGAGACCACTCAGCAAAGAAGGGGGCTTTTTAGAGGAGGTTGGTTGTGTTGGGTTACATTGGGGTGGGTGGTGAGAGAAATAGGGAACCACACCATTGGACAATTGTTTGTGTGGGAATAATATATTTTTAAATATACATATTGTTGCGTCATTATTTTTGTTACGTTCATTTTGCACTCCTTGCTTTTCATCTATTAATAGAGGCGATACATGGTGCAAAACCACATTATTCAAATAAATGAATGAATGAATGAATGAATGAATGCTAATGTGAGCAACTGAGCATTTTAGCTTTTTTTTGTTTTGCTATTGAATCATGCTGTAAAGATCCCATAATGCTATTTGAAAAAGAGAAGGAAGTTTAATCCGGTGGCCTGGCCAACCATTCACCATGTGAATTGATTAGAGTTCATAGCTGTTTTGGTGGACCTTGCTGTGTGCAAATTGGCTGCGACATTTTTGCCTTCGATTACGTCTAACAATTACCTGTGAAAGGCTTTAAGATGTTTTGATGGTGTCAAATACAAAGATTATTATATGATACACTAAAACCCCAGCTAACCAAATGGGGAGTGGGGGGATATCTGATGCGGTAAGCCAGAATTTCCAGCTAAGTATAATTACAATGCCTATACTGGCATTTATTGGTGCCAGCTTTTTTCAGCGGCAAAACATGTGGGTAAATCTTGCTACCGGCAATGTAATTGTTTGAATCTCATGAGCAGAAGATAGAATAAGCTATCTTCTGCTCACGAATTCAAACTTAGTCAAAGTCGATATCTCTGGTCACTGGCTCAATGTCTGTCGTTTGCTTACAAAATACAGTCACTACACTTTACACAATACCTTGAGAGATGCTTTGAGACGTCCACCTGACGTGAAAGGCGCTATATCAAGTGCAAGGTGTGTCATTATTTATTAATGTCATTCAGCAAAGAAACCTCAAAATGACAATTAGGCCTCGAATTTCTGGACATAAGAGAACAAACTGCCAAGAGCAAACTCTGAGGATTATTTGAATGAGTACATATGTGATTTACTGGTGCATTGCAACTCGAAACAGTCATTTCTCATGCTGCCAACTAATCTAAATGATTCATTTATAGATTAGCTTTAATAAACTTTCGACGAATACTGGAATTTTTTATTTGCGTTGCAGAATGTGAAACCCCAATCATGCTTCAGCCTACAAACTCAAGTGAAAAGACTCAGCTTATTGGTGACAGCCATCGTAGCTACAAAACAGATGGGTAGAGTTCAATAAAGAATAGGAAGCCGAGGTTTAACCTGAAACAACCTTTATGATGTGGACATGCCATATAGAGGGATTATGACGTTCACCTGGAAAATGAAGCAAAGTAACTGCCACTCCTGATGTCAGCTAAAAGAGTCACTTCAGATTCACCTGTAGCTGTAAAGTAGTTCAAAAACATCTGTGTAAGAAGAGTTAAAAGTTACTTGTTGCTCTAAATATTTCAAAACCCAAATCCCTGCTTTTATGGGTGTTTCAAATCTTACTTTACCTTGATATCATGACTTGGAAACGAACATATTGTATCATAATTCTGAATATTTGCTGGTGACCTTTGTCACATTCACTTTGCACGTTTAACCCACCTGCCCTTTGACAAACGGTGTGCTAACACTTCATTGTGGTTGTGTATAGCAAATGTTAACTTCATCAAGTAGATGCACTATGATTGATTCTCTTGAAGAAGTTAATTGGAAATTAGCAGCACTTTGTAGAAACATATATTATATATATTTTTATACAGTGCTTTTCACCTCAGGAGGATATCTCAACAAACTTGACACTGCAGGTTGGACACCCAAGTTTGGCGTGGAAGCCGAATGTGATGAGATATGTATGAACTTTGAAAGCTACAAATGGACAATTAAAGGATGATGCTCCGATTGTCAGCAAGTTCAGCAGGGAGCATATTTACTAACCTCTCGCAGGGTGGGACACTTTTTCTTCAATGGGGCTCTCATTATAAGCTACTATAACTCTTTATAGCCGTTATAATTCTTCATAACATTATCTTTCCATTTACATTTTCAAGACTGAGGTGGACAGATATTTGTTAGGTCAGGTTATTAAGGGATACTGGCAAGGTTGGGTAATTGGATTTAAGGTACAGATCAGCCATGATCTTATAGAATGTCAGAAGAGGCTCGAAGGGCTGAATGGCCTTCTCCGGTTTCTATGTCTATGGTTCTATCTATTTGTCTTGAGAGTCGTCATTTACTAAACACAATCAGAGTCATAAAATGAGGCACCAGTGAGTAGTAAAACCACCGCTTAGATAATTAACTGAACACTTTAAGTACAGACTGGGCTGTGTATGTACTTTTTAATAAAGTTCCTCAGGTTAAACTTGTAATCAAAAGAATATGAACTGGTGTGATTTAATCATTGGTTTTGCTAATGTACTTCTCAACTACGTACAACCATTTACATTCAGCTCTCTGATACTGAGGCATTGATTCTCTGATTATTGATAAACTTACTAATCTTGAAAGATAAGCACATTTCATTCATTGCTAGTAATTCTTTGACTGAAGAATCGGTTTTGTTTTAACTCTAATGAATTTATCTTACAATCGCTAAATATAGCACTTGATCACATCTATAATGAGACTCACATTATCAGAGCCCCATTCCATTCTCACACTGCAGAGGTCAGTAAATTTACCGCCAGCAGAGAATCATACACACTGACCTTCTAAACTTTGTTAAAGTTGTTGACAAAGTTGTTGAGAATTGTCCTGTGGTTTTGAAAGTACACATATTCCTCACATAACATGTTTCTATGATGTCCTGCTAATTTTCAATCCTATGCTGAAACGAAATAAGAGGTGAAACTATATTCTTATTGCAACATATTGAGCTGCTGAAATATTCTTTTGCTATTTAACAAATTATTGCAGTTAATACATCTGCTGCGATGGGAATAGAAGATGGATATTTTTCAAAAAAAGGAATGTATTACTTAAGTAAATATATGCATGACTTTAATGGAGGGTCAATTTCTGAATTTAAAATAGCCTGATTTTTCACAAAGGTACATCCATTTTATCAAAATTATGTTAAAAATCAAGTCACTTAAATGAACTATTTTTGATTGTGTAGTGTACTTGTTTTCTGTAACTTATTATATTAAGTTGCTGTAATTATTGCTTTGAAACACTACAGTACAGTAGTCATCTTGTGTGTGATTCTATTGTATGTAACATACCTCTCGATTTGTAAAGACTAAAGCTTAAGTTAATCATTTCCCCCGGTTCAGGCCAGTGTGTGAACATCACTTGTGTATTGGTGTAGATTGATTATTAGGATTATTTGCCTCTTGGATTTTAAATGTTATATTTATTTCTTCCAGCTCTACATTCACTGACCAAGTTAAATACTCTGCTTACATCAACCTCATTTTTTTCTAAGCAAAAACAAGGTGAAAACAAAGCCTTGCCTCAGTTTTCCTTCATAATTTAGTTCCTCATGGCTTGGAATCATCCTGGTAAAGCTTCACTACTTACTGTCTCCAAGCCAGAGCGCATTTGCCATTTACCACCTCCTTCTATCTCCAACAATTAATCACTTGCCTGATCTGCCATCAGTTCTATCAGTTTTAACCTACATTTAGTAATAAATAAATAAACCATCCATAAAGGCACCATATTTGATATTCTAATATTAGCAACTAGTGTAGGTACAACAATAAAGGAAATAACATTTACTTTCTTGTACCACACAGAGAAAAAAATCTGTACTACAACTTGTATTTAAAGAACGCCTTTCGAATAAAAGAACATCTCAAAATCCTTGACAAATATAAGGTGACCAATAAGAGATTTAAAAATGCTGACCAAAGCCAATTATTTAAAATATAAGAAGGACGAGACCCATAAACAAATTAAATAAAGGATACCTGGTAGTCATTACAAAACAATTTCACTTTCGAGTTCAGGTGTATAGGAATCTGAACTATCGTCTAAAATCCAAGGTGAAGGTGAGATTACAGCCTTCAATGGTACAGATGGTACAATGGTTGTGTGCAGCTGAACATTGCACAACCAGTGCACTAATGGAAGGTCACACAATTGAAACGTTCAGTCACCAGATTACACAACTGAAGGTTTTCCATGATATTTATTTCATGCACATACAAATATGTTAGTAATATATGTAATGCAGTATTACATTAGTAATAGGTACAATATATTTCATTACTACAGCTTACATTTATATAGGGCCCTTCACATAGGAATAACATCTTGAAGCACTTTATGCTACATTCTGAGACATTAAAAATCATCAAGTGACTTAACTTCTGTGAAGGAAGAAAACCCCAAGCCATATGCAAATTATTATTAAAGGGTCAGGATGCCTTCCATGTAGCAAAGGATAAATCAGCATTTGTTTTAGCTTGGTATTTTATGTTTGCTTTTGCTCATGTTTGACAGATGAATGTAAGTTCGAAGTGTCGGTAAAGAAAAAGTATTTGAAATAGAATTTGTTTGCAGTAACAAAATATAATTAGGGTCGCACTGGAGCTGCAGAAAGGAGAACAAAATTACAAACAAAGTCTTTGTAAAATGTCTGCGACCGGTTAAGTGATTCAACATTTATGTTTTGTGTATGTACTTACTATCTGAGAGAATTGGGATGATATTAAAAAGGTGCACTGTTCTAAATAAAGGCAACATCGATGGAATTTTGACTGTAAGTCTGTGTGTAACAAATCCACACCTTTTCCTTTAAGTATTTTGTGTCCTTGTTCAGATACATTTATTTACCAGCTACTAGGTATTACCAGACTGCTGACAGTGGTGCTCTGTGAACAACTCTCAGGAACAACAACAACAACAACAAGATGACATTCGTATAGCGTCTTTCGTGTCGGGAGGACGTCCCAAGGCGCTGGACAGAGTACAGCATTTCAGACCCGAGCTGGGGTTGGGGGGGGTAAGGAGGGGAGGTGACGGGGTGGCCGATGGCACGGTCGAAGAGGAGGGTCTTGAGGTGGGACTTGAAGGAGGCTAAGGAGGGGTCGAGGCGGAGTGATTGGGGGATGGACTTCCAGAGGTTGGGGGCAGAGTGGCTGAAGGCTCTCCCGCCAATGGTGGGGCGGGTGGGTCGGGGGGGACGTGGAGCAGGCCGGAGCCGGCTGAGCAAATAACCCTACTTGTGCCAAGTTATGCATCCACATTGCTATTGCTTTGTTTCACCGCTCATCAGCCTTGGCTTAAAACAACCCCCAGTGAAACGTATACAGCGCTCCGGGAAATAAATACATTCCCAGTCTTTGTATTCCCAACGTAATGCAGTATTTCGCATCAGTTACCAGTCTCACATTTGACATCAGGAATCAGCGGGCGACATATAACCCGTTTACCTTTGATCCCAAAATAAGGTACTTCTGATAACTTTGCTCCTAAAAAAAGGCTCATTCTTAGACTTGACCTGTTTCCAGATAATAATAATAATAATAACAATAGCAAATAACAAATAACAATAATAATGACAATAAATGTCATTGCGTGCAACAAATTGCAGGCAATTTTATTCCGGACAAAAAAAAAGAGCGTGATTATTTGCTTTTTAAAATAAAAAGTTTTTTTAAACAAAAAAAAAAGAGTCACCAAAGAGTGGAAAATAAGGGTCTGGTCCCCATGAAGTCCCTTCCCACCATCCAGGGATGATGCAAAGGCATCAGTGCCTCTCAATCCCCCCCCAACACCAGAGAGGGGGGAAAAAAAAAGATAGTCCACTCTCCCAAAACGATCAGCACAACACGCAACACGCAAACACACACAAAAAAAAATTGATGCATATTATATATATGTTATTGTATTAAAAATTTTTAAAAATTACTGAATCATTTGACACGGGAGCAGCAGAAACAAAACGTGGACGAGCCGAGCCAGGTAGGAGTCGAACCTACAATCTTCTGATCCGTAGTCAGACGCGTTATCCATTGCGCCACTGGCCCCGCGGAGAACTGCACTCAGCAAACCCGGGGATACAGCTACAGTGACAGATACCAACCAACAGCCCCACACACACACACACACACCACACAGCACCACACACCACACACATACACACACACCACACCACACATACACACACACACAGCACCACACACACACACACAGCCCCACACACACACACAGCCCCACACACCACACACACACACACACACAGCCCCACACACCACACACACACACACCCACACCCCCCCACACACCAC